GCCTCAGAAGAAACTGAGGGCCAACGTTTCTTACAATCTATCAAGAGAAGAACTTTTTGAGCCTAGTAACTTCAAAAATTTTGATTGCTTTGCATAATAAATCCCTGAGTTCCTCCAAACTATCAGGTTCACTTTCATCTCTCAAATATTTTTCTTACATTGACCATTAGTTTCTGAGAATTCTAATCTTTGATCATTCTCAAGAGAATCATGACCTTGACCACTTATCCTAAATCCAAAGGCTATATGCTTAGCTGGGCGGCAACCAACAATTGTTTTTGAAGAATGCAAATGACTATATAATTTTCCAGAGAAACTTTCATGTTGATCTACATTTTGTCTCAGTCAATTACCTAACTACAGTCTAGGAGGATTAGTCTTTAGATCCCAAAATTCCTTTCTGATTCTTATGGGACACAGTTTTGCAGTTATGAGACAATTAGACAAACTAATCTTGCTTTTCATGCTGAATCAATCTAAATTAATCTCTTAAGAACTAATCTATAACAACACCTGTAAAGTAATTTTTAAAAAGGAACCACATTCAGACTTGAAACGAAAATCAGAATCCGGAGAATGGTATATGGAATTTGGGGATGAAATGTTAAACTTCAAGCACCCATTAAGAACTCTATGAAATGATTGAATTTCACAAGCTCACAATTCAAGTGGCTGCGTCTCATATCAAAATTTCGATTAAGCCGTCCAACAAGATTTTTATTTTTCCATCACCACCGTGCTCCTTCCACAATTTATCGCCGGAGTTTCTCAATCAAAAAACCTGAACGCAATCACTTCGCATTAAATCAGGGATTCTTCAAACAACTCATAATAAATTTTCCAGAATTCAAACCAATCTCTGAAAAAAACTTCAACAAAAACCTAAAGATAGGCAAGTCAGTGGGATGAGCAAGTGTGAATAGTCCAAAGAGAAAACCGCCAGTATCCATGGCTTCCAAGAGATGTCTATACAGTAGATTAATTAATGTCAAATAAATCTTATTTAGAATGGTTTCAGAAAAATTTAAAACGACATTCTTTTAAGCCAGTAGAATTCTATTGTAATTATTGTGGAAAAATGAGGGTTCAGTACTTGAGTTTTAATAGTTTAGATGCATATATATGTATATAGATATTGCAAAACTTTGGTTCAACTTTTTGGATGGTTCTTTATGATATGGCTTAAAATGTTTATCAATACATATGATGCATGTTAGACCATCCATATTTGTCAACAGCTAGGTGTTAGTCCTTAACTAATCAAAGGGAATGCCTTATAAAATATTTATTATATGCTTTGCACAATGTTTTTTAATTTATATTTACAACTACTTTTGTAGTTTTAGGTTTAATTATGTATTATTATTTTTTCATGATTTTCGAGAAATTTCTTACTTATTTTTCGTAATTTGAGTTTCATGACCATGAAAATGGGAAAAATTCATGAGATACACTATTTAATAAATAGACTCTTCTACTTTGTAATGAAATATTTTCTTTTCTTAAAATTTGTTTCTTTTAAATTATATTATGTATTTTACTAAATTTTATTTTTATATTTTATTTTCTAACTGATTGTCCAAATCTTTGTTTTGATTATGTAATAATCATTGATAGTGGTACCACTATTTTGTTTCTTATTAATTTTTCAGAGCTTCAGCTTTGTTACTAAAATAGAAAAAAATATATGAGATACTTATTTCTTATTTTTACTAGAATGTATTTAATAAAACATAGAAAATATCACTGGGTTTTGTTTTTCTGAATGTTCTTTATCTATCTTTGAAGTTTTTGGTATTTCTCTATATATTATTTTTCATTAAAAAATTAGTATTTTTGGTTATAGCTTGTTACTTTCTTTTTCTGTGAAAAAATAACTTGTTAGTTTTTAGTTTTAAAATTATTTACAAATTTCTGTTTTGATTATGATTGAATCTTTGGTCGTGGTTTGCGCAACTTGTTTTGTTATTAATTTTTCTAAACTTGATTTTGGTAACTAAAAATAATGTGAAAATAACGTTTTGGTGAAATTTGTTTTAATGAAACGTAAAAATTAATATAATAAAATATATATATTATTTTCAAATATTTTGGATTATATTATGTAAATTCACCAAACTTTTATTTGTTGAAAGGAAATGGTTTCAATTTTTGGAAGGAAAATGAAATATTTGAATGTTCTTTATCTATCTTTTAAGTATTTGTGTGTTTAATATTATATTAATTTTGAAAGGGTAATATATCTAGACATGCGTTTTGCTTATCATTCTTGCAATTTAAACACATGGAACATTCTTTCTACGATCTAGATTAACCAAAATTACATAAGAGCTCTTTGGATGTTCATCATCGTTCTTTCTTGTCCAAGAGGATGTTAATTTTTGATAGCTAACCAATTCTATATCAGGGTTGTTTTAAAACTTAAGAAGTGTTTGTGTCTTTTTGGTGAGTTTCTTGTCTCAAAATCTAAAGATTCGGATTGGAGGTGTAGTTCTAATGATGGTATACTCAAGAAATGTTCTTACTTATGTCTTCTTTACAATTCTTTTTATAAAGATGAATCTTTTGGTATTATTGATTGACAAGACGATCTATGGTTGTCTCTACATTTTCCTATAAATATAGAGTACTCTAAAAATAGAAGAGACTTTTGCTCCAATGGTTACCTCTATTTTCTACGGTATAAATGAATATTCTTATTATATCTTTCTCCACTTATTTATTATTTTATTATATAATCCACAAATTTTGTAATGTTAAAATTTTACCATTATATTTGATATTACAACAATAACACAATACAATTACAATATTATTGAAATTAAATGATTGCTTTAAAACGAAAATCTCATTCAACACTTAAATAGAAAACAAATGACATAAATTCATTTTTAGCCATCATTATCATTACTGTACTTCTCTCACAAATGATTAATTAAAGCGTTTCGAAGTGAGAAATGAGCTTCTTTGTCTTTGATTTTCCTATACCGAGCCAGAAATTCTTGGAATCAAGAACTTTCATCATCCGCCATTTCAAGCTCTAGAGGAGGAGATTCAGTTGCAACTCCAATTGGTGCATCGAGATCACACTCGTCCTCAATCATCAAGTTATGTAAAATTATACATGTACTCATTATGTCATGTATAACTTCTTTTTCCCAAAATCGAGCCGGATCCTTAACAATTGCAAAACGCGATTGGAGAACTCCAAAAGCATGTTCCACATCTTTTCTACATGCTTCTTGTTGTTTAGAAAAATATGTTTTAAGGACCTCTTGGTTCGTGAATAGTTTGCACTATAGTATCTCCTGTTATAATTTCCGTGGATTATATAATGAGCAGGAAGAGAAAGACCTTGGATAAGATTGGAGAAAAGATGGGATGATTCCATACATCGATGTCATTATTGGTGTCTGGCATTCCAAGATAGGCATGTCATACCCAAAGATATTAATTCACCACTGCTTCAAAATCTATAGTTGGTGATCCACTATGCCCCACATATTGTCCAGCCTATGCAGTGGGACAATTCTTCCACTTCCAATGCATGCAATCTAAACTGCCTAGCATCCCAGGAAAAAATTGCTTTTGACCAATGTAAAGAAGTCGGGCGATGTCATTAGGTGTTGGTGAGCGTAAGTACTGCTGTCAAAATATACTCACTATAGCCCAACAAAACCTTTTCATGCTTACGATTTCTGTTGATTCACCAATTTTAACGTACTCGTCTGTGGCATATGCTAGTTGTCCATAAGCTAACATTCGAAACACATCTTTTCCTTTTTGAATGGATGATAATCCAAGTCTACCAGTTGTGTCTCTTCTTTGTGTGAAATAATTGTCATGATTCTCAATTAATGCAATAATACGAAGGAAAAGGGAACGAGACATAGAATACCTTCAGCGGAACATAACTTCATTATAATTTGGAGTCTCTGAAAAGTAATCGTTGAACAATCTATGATGTGCGCTTTGTAGATCACGGTAGATATATGAAAACCTTGAGCTTAGCCACCATGGGTCACATTTTTGTTTTGTTTATTGAAAAGGTATTGGATGATCAAATTGTTATTAGCAATAGCAAGTTGTATTGCTTCTTCTTGGTGATCAAGACTTCTAAGCATTTATGAATTTTCATCATCTGAAGAGGATGATGATATGTGAAGCATCATGAAAATCTGAGGTAGAATGAGAATTAGAATTCATTTGAAAGAGAAATTTTTTATGTGACAATAAAGATATATTTTTTTGGATATGCTACACCTAGCATGTCTAGTAGAATTTATAGGAAATAAAAAATCACAACCAATATAATTTCATATTATGAAATGTTTGAATACTTTTTTCATAGGATTATTATTATTATTATTATTATTATTCAAATCACTTGTCATTGAATTGTCAAAAATTGTCACGTGAATGGATAAACATGAAAATCTTGAAACCACATTGTCATACAATTGTCCCAAAATGTAATGGAAACCTTAGAATTATTTTCTTATTGAATTGTCAAAAATTGACATGAGACTCTTTCATTACTTTGTCATTGAATTTTCAAAACTTGTCATGAGGATTGATATACGTGAGAATGTTAGAACAACTTTGTCCTTGAATTATCAAAAATTGTAATGACAACCTTGAAATCATTTTCTTATTGAAATTTTAAAAGTTGTCATAAAAGTCTTTGAATTACTTTGTCATTGAATCATCAAAAAATTTCATTGGAATCTTTGAACCACTTTGTCATTGAATTGTCATAACAAATTGATTAAAGTGTCAATCTTGAGTATCTTTTTCTTGAATTATTCAAAATAGTCATGATGGATTCATAAAAATGAGAATCTTAGGCTTACTTTTTATTTTACTCATGAAGTTATCTCAGAATACTTAATAATCTAATTTTTTGAATAACATTTATAAATAGCATATGCAGCTTCATTTCTATACACAATCATACCATAATTTTCTATACACCTTTTTCACATATTTTCTTAACAAAAATGTCTGATCGTCTTTCTCGTTCTTCTGGTTATTCCAAGGAAGAAGATCAACTTTTATGTCAAGTCTATTTAGAAATTTCTCAAGACCCAATCAAAGGTATTTATCAAACATCCGACCAATTTTTGGATCTTGTACTTGATGCTTTTGAAAAGAGAAAAAAACGCAACTTGGAGTGAACATACGAAAAGATCTATCCAAAGCCACTTTCAAACTATTGAGAAAGAATCGAAAAAATTATATGCATGCATCAAACAATGTGAAAATAGACATCCAAGTGGGTCTTCAAATGATGATATCGTAAGTATTAATATTTTTTTTTTTAATTATTTAGTGTTTTAAATATATTTTTTATTTATGTTATAAATTTATATGCAGATCAACCAAACTAAAGAAATGTTAAGGGAGAATCAAAATTTTAAATCAGGTTGGAAATTTGATCATGTATGGAATTTTGTCAAAAATTTCGAAAAGCTAGCCTAAAGATGGTTCTAATCTTGCTAAAAGAGATGCAACTCTATGCGGTTTTGGGTATACATTTTCAAAGTCTGAAAATCCTACTCCTGACCATGTTACATAAGCATCTCCAGGTTTTTCTTCATTTTCTATAAATTTAGGAGACAAAGAAATTAGTGGCGGATCTCCATCTCAACGGCCAATTGGAGTGAAAAAATCCAAACTGAAAAGAAAGAATGATGATCAAACATCTGTTGTTATCAAGAATTTAAAGATAGACACCAACAAATCTTGGAAGAATTAAAAAAGAAAAGTGCACAATGACAACACCACTCGGAGATGTAAAGTAAAAATTATGCATTGAAGGAGCTCAAAGAAGAAAATAAAATATTACTTCAAAACTTAAAATCTATAGAAGATTCAAATATTCGAGCATATCTTCTTCTTCTTCTTCTTCTTCTTAAACTCTGCTTCAGAGTTCAGATCATATAATGGATGCTCAATAGTACCTGGGGATGCTCAATAGTACCTGGAAAGCATTGTCTAAATTACTCGAAAGAAGAGAAAAGTAGAAGAACATCATCAGCCATGGATGAATAAATAAACTATGCTTCAGAGTTCAGATCATATAATGGATGCTCAATAGTACCTAGAAAGCATTGTCTAAATTACTCGAAATAAGAGAAACGTAGAAGAAAATCATCAGTCATGGATGAATAAACAATCCTGAGTTCAGATCATATAATGGATGCTCAATAGTAGTACCTGGAAAGCATTGTCTAAATTACTCGAAAGAAGAGAAAAGTAGGAGAACCAAAGTCACATCCTTTACGCAAAAGCATCATATCCTTGATAGTGTAGACTCTAAAGAAGTTTTAGTAGCCATGATCAAGTTTCCAATGTCATGTTAAAACAAAGATGACTTAATAAACCAACTTTCACGACAGAGAAAAAGTCATGTTTTCTCTTGATCAAGCTTCCACTTATCAATCTTATAAGAGAAAACCATTTTTTAAAGATGGGAACACTTACCTGATCAAAAGCAGGGTATATGTAATCTGTGATCTGAATTTCTACATTTTCTCGGTTTCCCTGTTAAGATCAAACACCAATAGATGTCTAATTCAGTTGACAGAAACATAAATCTAAACCATCCAAGAACACAACATTGCTGCTAGACCAGTACCACTCAATAATGCCATGAATCCAATAAGATAAAACCCGTTCAAAAGCTTATATGAATGGATAATCGAGAACAATAAGTCTAACCCAAAACACAGGTAGGTTAAACAAGTGAAGGAGTAAAAAAAAGAAGTAGATACTTTCTCATTTAGAAGAGTGTTAATGACACGTACTGGAATAACTCAGAAGGAGTATCCTTAAAAGTCATTTTTTCCTTCGAAGGACGTTCCTTCACTGAGACGACTCCGGAAAGTATCAACCCGAATTGAGTTGATGGTCCCATGGATAAGCGTAGACTGCGCATTAAGAATGATCCGAACAATAAGACTTTCAGGCTTATGAAATACGTAATTCGCAGTCATAAGAACAGAAAGTCGTTGGCTAACCTGCTCATCGAGAAGAAGCATGTCAACACTCATGATCTCTCCACCTTTCATGACATTCCAATTTTTCTAGGACCTCAGTAGACGGACCTCCGCTGTGTTAGAGAAGTGTTAGAGTAACGGCTTGCTTTCAAGTTGGCGAGAAGAACTATACAAAGGTGATATATTTCAAGTTGATGCATAAAAAGGTTCAAGATTTCAGAAATCTGAACCGTGTAAGTATTCATCGATTCCGGAAGACTTATTTATATGACATGCGTTTATTTGTTACAAACTCCGTTCGTGAATCTGAATATATGAAACAGAGTGGGAGGAGAGGTGGGATAGAGTTTAATGATTGAATTAAAGCAAGAGTTAAGAAAGGGATAACACGTTACATGAAATCTAATAGGAGACTATGGAAGGTTACACACAATGCGTGCCACACAGATGTAAGTACTTACATCAAGGGTCCAATAAATTTGGTAGAAACCCAATAAATAAAGCCCAAATGCAATTTGAAAAAAAAACATTAAACAAATAATATAATGACATATGAAAAAAGAGACATCTAGCGAGAAACAAAATCCAAATCTATATTATTAAAAGTGAAGGCACCCTTGAAAAATCGACTGATGAAAGTTGTGTTTACCCTTCATTAATGGCATTTTGGTAATTTATTTTCGTCTTACATCTATATATATATCAATTTGTTACAAATCATATCACATATTGCATATACCCGAATTATTCTCTCTCTTTCCATTAATTACTCTAACCATTAATTATTCTCTATTTTCCCATTAATTATTTTTCTCTCTTCCCATTAATTACTCTAACCATATTTCATACTATATTTCATACATTTATTGATTTCCAACATTATATTACACGATTTGGTATATGCATCATATATGGACTTTATAACCACATTTCATAATATATTTCATACACTTATATTATATTATACACCTTATATTACATGATTTCAATCTATAGATTTTCGGCATTATACTTTTATGGTTGACTTTTTTTGGTATATAAATCATATATATATTTTATAACCATATTCCAAACTATATTTCATACATTTATATTATGTTATACACCTTATATTACACGATTTCAATCTATATATTTTCAACATTATACTTTTTTGGTTGACATTTTTTGGTATATGCATCGTACATGGACTTTATAAACTTTCATTGCATTTATATTGTGTTATAGATCTTCATTTCATGATTTATCTTCATATATGAAATATGTTTTCATGTCTCACTAAATTTACCCGTATTTATATACCATACTATATTTCATACAATTATATTGTATTATAGACCTTATATTACATGATTTCAATCTATATATTTCCAACACTATACTTTTTTTTGTTGACATTTTTTGTATATGCATCATACATGGACTATATAAACCTTCATTTCATTTATAGTGTTATAGACCTTATATTACATGATTTCAATCTATATATTTCCAACACTATACTTTTTTGGTTGACATTTTTTGGTATATGCATCATACATGGACTATATAAACCTTCATTTCATTTATATTGTGTTATAGACCTCATATTACACGATTTCAATCTATAGATTTCCAACATTATACTATTTTGGTTGACATTTTTTGGTATATGCATCATACATGGACTTTATAAACTTTCATTTCATTTATATTGTGTTATAGACCTTCATTTCATGTTTTTCTTCATATATGAAATATGTTTTCATGTCTCACTAAATTTACATGTAATTATATACCATAGTTAGACGACATATAGTGATATCAACCAAAAAGATATATCATCACTCTCATGTTGACATTTAATGGACGAGATACGTTTTGTTAAGAAAATATTGCAAATACGGTTTTCTATAATTATCTTCCTACTAAAATAAAGAAATTGCTTTACCTACAAGTTATAGATTAACCAAAATAAATATCGTAGATTCCATAAATTTCGGTAACTTACCGTAGTTGGATTACCATTAACTGTTAAACTTTAAACTTCCTAACTAATTCAAAATCTTCAAGAAATATTCCTTATTCCTCAAAAGAGATATTTTAAAAAATTGTATGAAATATTCTCCCCTACATTCGCGTAACCTAATTGTATATCTTCCCTACATATTATAAATATAGCCTCTCTTAACCATTATATTTATCATCTCTCGAAAACCTAAAACAAAAATGGCGAATAATTTGCAGTTGTCTTTCTTGAGCGATATAAAACCGAGGAAGACTGCTTTCGCATCCAATTCAAAATCCTTCATACGTGAAGACATTTCATGAAAGACTAAGGGAGTCCATGGAACTAATCTTTTGTGATGCAAATGTAAATTTATCGTTTTGTATAGATTTTTTATTTAGATATCTTCATTTCGTTAAATTTTAACCTAAATGATAATGTTTTATGTTTATATAGGGAAGTAAGATCCATGCCTCGTGTAACAAGACATACATTCCTCGAGACTGTTAATCCTGAAATACCAGATTTAGATGAATTTAAACGACGGTATTTATCTTCTTCAACAAAAATGTTTTCACTTTATAATATTATAGACTAAATTATAAAACTTATTTATAATCGCACAGGTAATGATGATTCTCTAGCGTTACCCTGGATGAATCAAAATCGCAGAGGTAATGATGATTCTCCATCGATCCATTTTAGAATTATGTTTGTTTAGAAATAATGTTTTTAGTTATGTTTTGACAATCGCGTTATGATGATTCTCGAGAGTTAATCTTGGTTGAATCAAAATCGCGTTTTGTTTTCACCCAATAATTTTCATTTTAAATAATTTTTTTTCTTGACGATTAATTGATTGATTTATTTATATGAAAAATACATAGTGTTGTATAAAACAGATCAATATACTATGATATAATAAATGAAAATCGATTTATACTATATTTGCTGCATATTAAAACAGAAAATGATATACTTGGAGTAACAAAACTCATTTGTTACTCCAGAATCTTGCAATATTTAAATTCTTCTTTATATACTTGGAGTTATCTTTGACTCTCACAAAAAAAATATTTTTGAGTTACCTTTGACTCTCATAAATTAATTCAACAAAAAAATACCCGCCCTTCTTAAGCGCGGGTCAAAATTGAATATTATTTTCATTGTTCAAAAATCATAGATGTACTTATTTTAACTAACATAAATAAACTATATAAGATGCGAAGGTCAAAATTGAATATTATTTTTATTGTTCAAAAATCATAGATGTAATTATTTTAACTAACATAAATAAACTATATAAGAATCGCGGGTCAAAATTGAATATTACTTTTATTGTTCAAAAATCCTAAATGTAATTATTTTAATAAACTATTTAATCCAAGTGCGGGTCAAAATGTAATATGTGTTTTAATTTTTCAAACTCTCAGAGTACTTATTTTTTTTATTATGTGTTCAACCACAAACTGACTCGGTTATTCATAACCCAATAAAAAGATCATACTAAAACGTTAAATATACATCAAATTTCACATATAAAACTATCATATAATAAAAATAGAATCATTTGATATATTTTATTACAGCCAAAATAAAACTCGCGTTTCTCAAGCGCGGGTCAAAATCTAGTTTATTAGTATAGATAATACAAATTTTAAAAACAATTTGTGCATATTGTAAACAGAAAATATTAATGATTAAATTCTGAGGAGTAGGTATCAATTTATGTCTAATTGCTCCGCCTATGGTTCCCTTAACTACATTTTC